GGGGGGTAGGCTTAGGAGCCTGGCCAGCACTTCCCCACTGCAGAGGCTAGCCCAGCTGCCGGGGCACAGCACGCCCCCTCTCTGCAGAGGATAAGCTGGCTGCCAGGGTGTACCCACCCTGCCCCATCCAGGAACTGGCAGTGTGGGCACCAGCAGCTGTCCTTCCGTCCAGATGTTTCTAGACAAGAGCCACTCGCCTGCCCCAAGGACAGTCTCCTAAGAGCCAAGTGAGCACTCCCTCCCCTCAAGCCCACCCCCACCCCCACAGGCAAGGGGGCCCAGGCCAAGCCTTGCCTCTCTTTCCTGCAGAACCAGGGCAGTGGCCAGCTCCTGGGCACTAGGAGGGCACAGGGGGGCCAGAGGCAGTAAGCGGGCAGCCCAGCCACATCCAAGCCCATGTGGGCACCAGGGGGCACAGGGTAGGGCACAGCCAGGGCTGAACGAGAGGCTCAGCCATGGGAAGGCCCAGCACACACCACCAGACACACCAGGATCCAGGGTGGGGCCACTGTGCTCACAGTGCTGGCTCAGCTTTCTCCCGAGACCTGGACAAGCACTTACGGAGCAAAGTGGATTATGGCCCAGCAGTCAGACACAGGGGTTTCCTGGTGGACAGTGCTCCCTGAGAAGTCACAGCACTTGTCCCCTTCCTCCAGGTCCCGCTACCACTGCTTCCCTTCCTCCTCCCCCCCCTTCCTGCCCTCGGAGTCCCTCCTTGGGCACTCACTGCCCTGGGATCTCCGTTGGTTGGTCTTGCCTTTGTTCTGTCTGAATTCACATCAACTGACAGGTGGGATTGGCAGACCTGACCCCTGACCCTGACTGGTGGAGTGGGCCGGTGCATACAGCCTAAGAGAACGTGGAGTGCCCCCAGGAGACCAGCGCTTCCCATGGCTCTGCCCTCGCTGCCCCAGAGCCCGAGTCTCATCCTGGACCCTGGACCCCTGCTCTGCCCCACCCCGACTCCGTGCCACACAACTCACCCAATGGTGATGAAGTCGCTCTTGCTGACCGTGTCGGGTTCAATGCAGATGTCCATGAAGTCCTCCGTGCCCTGAATGGGAGGGGGCGGGGCGGCAAACATGAGCACAGTGGCACCTGCTGAGGGCCGCTGGTCATCCTCGGGACCCCACTCCCACCCCCCACCCGTTGGACAGGTCTTGTACGCCTTGAGGCTCGCAGGTAAAGCTGGAGTCTGTGGTGCCACTGAGCAGGTCCCACAACCCCCAACCCTCCCCGCTGGCCTCACCCAGGACCCTGGCCACCCCTGGCCTCGAGAGGTAGGTAGACCAGCACCAAATGGGGACTTTGTTATTCTTCTCGCCGCTGCTAGGGAGGTCGACCAGGAGTCCAGTTCAGGCAACCCGTGGGACACGTGCACATGCATATTGGGGCTCACAGGATTAACCAGTGCTCCCTCCTCCTCTCTGTCCAATCCTTCCTGCCTGCACCTTTGGGTTGGCTTCAGGTTTCCTTTCTCGCACCTTATCGCTGTTAGACTAGTGTTTGTACTTTCCCTGCTCGAAGGTCCCAGCACTGCCCCATGCCACTGCGGGAGGCACCTGGGCCTGGAGGAGCACAACGCCCACTCCCTCCCCGAGAAAGGCCCGGGGCCATGGAGACCACGAGGGACATCCTTCACCAATTCCCAATCGATCCTTCTCCCGCTCCCTCACCCTACCACCACCAGACACGCCACTGCCTGCCGCTCCCCTGACCTCAGCCCCGCACTGAGGTGCCCACCAACGAGAAGAGAAGGAGCCATCCAATCTGCGGAAACCCCCAAGGAATCCGCAAGTACAGTGAACATCACTGGGGGAAGAACGCGGACGCGGAATCCAGACGTGAAACTCAGCAAGGGCCCTGGCCGGGGTCAGCCGCTTGGAACATGAGAGCTTAGGAGAGGGCACTGACAGGAGCATCTAAAGTGACCCTAAGCAGGAGGGCCCTGCAGAGAAAACGGTCAGCGTTCACGGGCACACGCCCCAGACCCAATGCTGAAAGGCAGCACCACACACACGCCACTACTTCTTCTGATGGCCGTGCCAGGTTCCACGGAATCCCAACTGGTGTCCTGTGGGTGCACAGATCACTAATCGTCTCCACAGTCTGCAGAGGCCCCGGAGCCAAGGACAAGCACACCCCGCAGAAGGAACACGAAGGGAATGATAGTCAGGCTGCTGGCCCGGGTGCTGCTGCAAAGCAACGGAGACCGAGGGAGATGGTTCAACCAGGGACCCGACACTGGCAGCTCGCTCAAGGCAAGACCTGCAGGAGATGGCCACCTGCCAACCAGCTGGAGAGAGCCGTGTCTGGGCCCGTCCATTGCCAAGAAAGGTGACCCACGAGAACATGGACATTATCACTAATATCACGGGCAGTAAAAGCTGCTGAGGGCCGTTTTAAAGGGCACCAGCAGCGCTCTGGCAAGGCTGGGAGGGTCCACGCTCATTCCAAAGAGCATGTGGACGAGGGCTCTCCCTGCGGGTGTCCCATGGGTCCGAGTGGAAAGCAGGGAATCAATACCAGGAGGACGTCTGTGGATGTGAAGGGCCCTGACCTTTACATGGGTGTCGTGGTGAAGAATGGAGCTCCCTGACACTTCCCTGTGCTCACGTGGGACCTGCACGTGGGCCATGAGGTGATGCTGCTCAAACAAAACCTGGGGACACTCGCGGTGCGGTTGAAAATCAGGAGAGGAGTGCGCCCACCCGCAGCACCCGGTCACCGTGTTGATTCAACCTGAATGCCGCGAGTCATCAGAGAAGCTGAGTCTACGGGGACAGAGGAAGGCCCAGGGACAACCTGTGCTAGGCAAAGGCCACGACCGTGCTTGGGAAAATGAGGAGGGCTTGGAGCCCTTGCTGAGGAAGATCGACGAAAACTACCTTCAGTGTGGATGACAACTCATGTCAAGACGGCCACAGTGCTCACCAAGGGCCATCACGGTCATGGGCTCCACAATCCATGCCCAGGAAGTGCCCCTCAGGCACGCGAGAGCTTCAACACAACCCCTACACGCCCCGCCCCACCCCCGCCCCTGCTCCAGGGCTTTCCTTGCAGAGCCCACCAGTGCCCTTACCGCCAGGTCAGGACGCCGGTTCCGCGTCATGATGGACAGCTCAATGGTGGCCAGCTGCACCTCCTTCCAGGTTTCGGGATGTGCATCTCGGGGGGAGGCTGCAGGAGCCCATGGGACACAGGTCATCGCACGCCCCCCCAGACCGAGCCTCCACTTCACCCCCACACCAGCCCCGCCGTGTGGACCCAGCACCTCACTCCCAAGGAAGAGCAAGGCTGATGTGGGTCTCCACCCCCTACCCCCAGCAGCCACGGGAATGCAGAGGTGGTGGGGCGGGGCCGTAGGTGGTAAGAGGGACAGGAGAGGGAGTCCTGATGTGAGCGGGGCTCCAGTTAATGCCCACCCCCACCCTGAGCCACCGAGGGAACCTGTTAAGGACAAAGGCAGTCGTGGGCCGGAGTGCTCTGTGTGCCACCCTGTGACCCCTCCACACTGCCAGGTGGGCGGGGCCTGTCTGAACTCCAGGACGGCTCTCCTGTCCCACTGACGCTGTGAGCCAGGCCAGCAGTCAGAGGCCGAGGGCAAGACCAACTGCTCACCATCCTGAGGCTGGGCCCAGAAGGAGGCCAGCCTCCTCAGAACCCTCCGGTAGAGCCAGGGCCGTGGGGCAGGCTCTCCCGGCTCGTTGGGGGGCCGCGGAGTGGGTCCCGTGTACGAGATCGAGGCCTGGTGAGTCTGCGGCCACTCCTGAAGAGGGACAGGGAAACGGCGTGGTCACACTCGCTTGCTTTGATGTGTGTTTCAGCCCCGCCAGGGGAGCCCACGGCGGCAGGGACAAGCATGCAGAGCGCACGTGGACGGCACTCACCTTCAGCATGCTGAAGAAGTAGGCTGCTTTGGTTTTCAGAGGTCCCAGGTACCAGTACCTGTGAGAGCAAAGCACCATCTGAGAGCATGCAGCGGGGGAGCGATGGCTAGCTGGCCCTCACCACGAGGCTGCCTCTGCAGTCGGGGACTGGCTGCCCCAACAGGGGCCACGGAAGGGTCCACTGTGTGCGAACACATGGCCCTCGGAGTTCAGCTGGCTGGTGGCACAGTGGCCCCGGAAATTTGTAAGGCCTGCAATCCGGCCCCACCAGAAGTTGACCCAGGGCCTCCTGTAGCAACATGCCCCTCCCTCCATCGATGTGGCCGAGCACACATCCTGGGGGTGAGGGTGGGGTGGGGAACAGGGGACACAGCTGGTGGGGATGCTGGGGACCTGAGCACCTGGGTCTGCACACAGAATTAGAGCGTGTCCATCCTGACAGCCAAGCCCTCCGGGGGCAGTCTCCCGGGGGAGTCTGTCCACAGAATGTCCCAAGCTCTGCTGGTCAGCAGGTACCTTGCGCACAAAAGGGGCTTTCGGGACCAGGCTGCCAAGAAAGGAGTTGGGGGGATGCTCTCCCACAATCTGTCTGTCTGCCCACCGCCGCCCACCCTGATGGAACAGCTCATTGAGTCTGGTCAACCTCCATTTGTTTATGTGCCACTCGTAGGTGGGGAACATGATTCAGCCACAACACCCGTGCCTCTGGGGCTCACCAACGAAGAGAGTGAGACACAAACAAGCAGCAGGCACCCAGAGACCAGACACGGCCAGGCGGGTGGGTGACTCTTCACGGCTCACGATGCAGCCATGTGTGTGCTCGGGTGGGAAGGGGGGGACAACATCCGCCTGCCAGGCCTGAGAAGCAGCTGCATGGCGAAGGGGCAAAGGGCCGCGGAAGGGCAGAGCAGAGGCACTGAGGTGAGGCGGGATGGGACACCCTGGGGAGGGAGGAGTAGGGGTGCCCATGTCTCATGCAGTTTGTCTCAGAGCCACCAGAGGGCGGAGTCTCCCTCGGAACGGCTGGTGGCTCCTAACTGCTGACCTCACGGTCAAACACATGGCGTGAGCCAGAGGTGCAGGCGAGCAAAGGACAGTGGGAGCCCTGTGGTTCTGAAGCTGCTCTGCAGGAAGCACCCACTGCAAACACAGCCACGGGTGGGGGAGCGGCTCCCCCACAGGGCTGGTCAGAGGCAGTTCACCAGCTGCCAAACCCTTTCTGGGTCATCACTGACCACCCCCACCAGACCCTTCTCTGCAGGGGAGCTAGCCCGCCCCCCACCCGCGGCTGGGGCCTGGAACTGAAGGCAAACGCAAGCCTGCAGTCAGGACATTCCTGTCCCGCCTGCCACGGCCACTGGGGGCTTCACAGCAGGAGCAGGGAGAGAAACAGGTGAGGGAGGAAGGGGGCAGGCGTCCTGCAGACAGGCAGGTGTGACATCAAGTACAGCCTGGTCAATATCCACTCATCCAGCCCAAGGAGGCCTCTGGGCACTAACAGGGTAGGGCACTACATGCTGAGCCCACGGATCTAAGCATACAACCAAGTGCCCAGAAATCAGTCCGCTCCCAGGGTAGAGGTGGGAGGGGTGTAACGGAGCCTCTGTCTCCTCCTCTTCCTCCACGGGGCAGCTTGCCAGGTGATAGGTGATCACAGGTGCCTCTCAGGCTGGCCCAGCCCCTCCTGGAGGCTGACCCCAACAATCCCAGCTGGCCTGCCCCAAAACCCCACACCCAGCTCCCCAGGGCGGGCAAACGAGCTAGCCGACTTACTTGCTGACTTGGACGCCGGTGTCCCTGAAGGAGCCCCATCTGAGGCCGGTCATGGCGAACGCGGGATGTCCCTTTGCGCCCTGCAGGGAGTGAGCACACGGCTCAGCCAGCTGCTGCGGATGGACCCACAGATGCCAGTCCTGCTGGTCTCCCGCCCACCCCCACGACGCAGGGGCAGACATCAAAGGCGTGGGTGGGCAGAGCAGGTGGGAGACAGACATGGCACAGGCCAGGAGCCCAGAGCCAGCGGCCCTCATACACGTGGACTTGGGGGAGACGGACCGGCGGCGGGCCCTGAGGAGAGGCCAGGAGCCACAGAGAACAGTTCCTGCTGACCGGGAGGTGCCCTGTCAAGGGGGTGCCATGGGACGCACAGGCGCCTCATGGGAGGATGGCTTTCCATGTCATGCGGAGGCACAGTGAAGGTGTGGCCACCTGCAGAAGCCCCAGCGGGCACAGTCTGGCCAGACCTATAAGACCACCCCAGTCAGCAGTGGCTCGGGGTGGCTGCTCTGGTACAGCTGGCATGAGGAAGGATCCGGGTGGGCAGAGCTGAGCCCTCACAGAGCTGCTGTGGCTGGTGACTTCCAACCAGCTCCAAGCAGTGACTCGCATGCAGGGGAGGAAACACAGTGGGTCCTGCATCCACTTCCCGGCCAAGGCAGCTTCCAGAGTGTCCACATGAGGCTCTGTCCCCTGCCCGTGAGACGCCGTAGGCCACTGCTGCCACCATGTCTCACACAGCCCCCCAGGGGGCACGACCACCCCGGGCGGGGCTTTCCAGTCCCCAGGCTGTTGTGAGTACACAGAGATGCTGGGTGACATCTGCTCCCACTGTCTACCCGAAGCTCTGACAGCACCGATGGGCTCCCCGTGCGTCTGTACAATAGCATTCAGGCTGTGTGTACTATTTAAATTCACTGTTGTGAATTTAAAACATACGAAGAGAAGATGTACCTTAATCTGCAAGACATCCAGTGGTACCGTCTCTCCTTTCACGATGGCCAGGGCAGCGGCGGTGATGCGTCTACAGGAAAGGGAAGGGGGTCACATGGAGAAATGACAACCTTCCAGCACCCCGCGATGCACCCACATACATATATATGCATGTACCACACACACACACACCAGGGCAGCAGCGGTGATGTGTCTACAGGGAAGGGGAGGGTCATGTGGAGAAACAACAGCCTCCCAGCACCCTGCGCATGCACCCACCCACACATCTACAGGAAATGGGAAGGAGGGTCACATGGAAAGTGGCACCCTCCCCTCTGCACACACCACACCATTTCTCTCCACACCACACAGCCCCCAGCCACACGTCTTCCATGCCCATACCTACACCACCACACCTAACCCAATGCACACCTTCCCTCATATGCACGCCACATCCCACACATACCACAGTCCTCCCCACAGACATGTGCGCCACACCCCTCCCCCCACATGCACACCACACCCATCCCCCACACGTGCAGACACTCGCAGACACACTCTCACACACACACCCCTGTGCAGAGCATGTTATTAGGTCAGGAAAGAGGCAGGGCAACAGGCCATTGAAACTCAACCCTGGGAGGCACCAAGAGGAGTGCTGAGAATGTTAGCACCAGAAGCCGAGTGCTTACTCGGCAATCCCAGGGTCCTGATAGGACGGACCAGGGACACAAATGACAGCCCAGCCAGCAGGAGAAGACAAGACACGCCGGGAGCAGGGCACTGGGCACTACATTTGGGCTGGAGCAGAGAGAAGGGTGAACTGACACCAGGCCCCCTGCCCCTCACTGGCCTCCGGCACCTGGCTTATTCAGATGGTGGCCTCCCCGACAGCTGAGTCCCTTCTAACACAGAACCTACAAGACTGAGCACCACCCTACAGGGTTCCCAAAGCTGTTGACTGTAGGAGCACAGTCAGCCTCACGGAGCGGCAGCTGGGTTTGAACCATCAAACTTTCAGTTAGCCACTGTCCCACGAGGGTAGACATGCCACCCTCCCCTGCCCAGCCGACTCTGTGAGTCATCCTGTGCAGCACACGTCTCTCAGGCCATGAGGCCCCAGCAGCCTCCTCTGGAGGAGTGACAGCTCCCCAGGTCACCAGGTGCGCACCCCACCCGGCACTTTGTAACCAGTGATTCCACAACACAGTGTCAAACACACGAAAAGCACACGGTGCCAGCAACGCCTCTGTGCCTCCCCACACGGCTGCCACCATCATCGAGGCAGGACCAGCCTGGCTTCCTCACAGCTCCCCCGCAGCACTGCCACCGCAGACCCAGGAACTAGACTCCCAGCCCTCGGACAGGGCGGCTCGAGCAGACTCTCCCAGCTCCAGTGCACATAGGCAGGGGCTCACTGCTGCAAACACCATGTGTGCAGCGTGTCTCTGTAACCGGTGGGCGGCTGCAGACTAATGTTCCCAGGAAGGCGCAGGTCTCGGGCAGCGGATACAGTGGTCCCCAGGGAATCTGCAGGGCAGTGGGATCCAGGGTGACGGGTTGGCCCAGGTAATGATGACTACTTTCGGGGATTCCGATGGGCAGATCTTAGGAGAATTAAGAAGTTTTCAGAAAATGGGAAATTGCGTCAGGGAGAAAGGTCTTTTTTCCATCGTGAGAGTGGGCTCGCCTTTTCTTCGGGGCCGCCAGTTCTGTCCCACAGGAATGTCTGCGAAACGTGACTGTTCACCTTCCAGCTCCAGCCCTGCCTCTTCAGATTCCTTGTGTTCCCCAGACTCCAAGAACCCCAAACCCCAAAGACTCGGAAGAACTAAACAACACACCAGCCGACTTGGGCTCACAGACACACACGGCACCGAGAGTCAGCTCCGGGAACCTTCCCCGCCCACACTCACGAGACGCCCAAACAGACAGCTAGGCAGTTAAGGGAACACGGTTGTCTCTGGAGAACCTGGAAGGGCCATTTGGAAGTGGTACAAACGGGGAGGGGTCTGATTCTCCAGGGGAGGTTAGAGCAACGGAAACGCCGCCTTCGGAAGTTTGTCGGCCTCCTAGACACAGGGCGAGAAACAGTATCTTCACACGTGGACCTTCCAAGCTAATGAAGGTCCCTGTGCTTCTGTAGCAGACAGCCTCCTCTTTCTCCGGGGAGCAAAAGGTGGGTTTGAACCGCCAACGTTGTGGTTCAACGCTTGACCTACAGTACCAGCAGGGCTCCTTTGGGATACATTCACATCTCAAAACTAGACACACTCGCTAAATGTCTGATTCGTTTCCGGGTTCCCGGCGGGCAGGCAAGCGCATTTTAAGAGGCAGCCTACCCTCTATCCTCCTCCGTCTTTCTCCAGCACGTCTCTGTCCCCCCCCTCCCCTCCCTCCAACACTACTGCTATCGGCAAGTTGAGCAGCTTGGAGAACAAGAGTTGGGTCAGGAGGAGGCAAGAGGTGTGACCACAGGGTGGAAATGACCCTACAGTGACCACCGGGGCCATGCATGGAGCCCTGTGTAGGACGTCAATGATGTGCCGTATGGAGCCTGTCCGGCGGGGCTTTGTACTTCTCCAGCTTTACAGACACCATGCTGCTGCGACCCCAATCTTTGTCATTTGTCCATGGCTTCCCAAAAGACAGCCAACATGCAGCCATGGCTGGTCGCTCTCCAGCAGGACCGGCACGTTCTGCACAGAGCTGAGCTCATTTAGGATGGTTGACACGGAGCACACACGCTCCAGGCTACGGCTCCTCCTCCTCCTCCGGAAGCAAGCAAGATGGAGCTGGCCAGCAGGAGGTAGGCAGAGCAGAGCCAGGATTTCCTGAGGAGCCGGAGGCACCGCTGCTCGCTGCTCCGAGGGCCGTGAGCGGCTTTTGCTCCCTCCACCGCCAGGCAGGCTCACACACAGCGGTTAACCCCAGGGGCACCAGCCGCCCCACACTGACCACCTCAGCCCTGGTGGCCACACGTGGTGGGAATAGGCCTGAGGTCAGGCAACAAGGGGTCCGAAGATGAGCCTTCCGTTTCTGAGGAGAAGGCCTGGCTCTGCCTGCCTCCCGGGAGCATGCTGCCTGGGAGTGTCGGCAAAGGCAGTTCCGATGACCAAGGCTGACCCGAGGGAAGGGCAGCCTCTTAAGGTAGCCAGCCCCAATGAGAGTGTGGGAGAGGCTCACTGTCTGCCACCCCGCTGCCCCACAGAGCTGCCACCCTAGAAACAAAAAGGAAGGTCAACAGAAACGTTGGTCCCTGTGGAGATGGGAAGCGTGTTCACTCTCTCCGGGCAGGGCTGTGCCTCGAGAGGGGCTGGGCTAGCCTACAACGTGATGGAGAGCGTGAAGCCGGCTGCAGGCTGGGCCTCCCCAGGACGTGCTGTTCGTCACCACGCAGGCTGGGAGCACCCAGCAGGGGTATAGACTGCCTCCATGGAGAAGCGCGAGGGTCAAGGCGGAGTGGTTTGCATGACAGGAGCGGTCTTCTCAGCGGATGAAAGTCATCCAGTGTGCGTGTCCATCCCTACCTGGCCTGACCCTCCGACCCGCAAAAACAACTTCCCGGAGAAAGGAGAGGTCACCCAGCCCCCTTTAATTACAGCACCTCTGGGCCCCCAACTCAGCACCCAGTGCCCCAGCCCACCCCCTACACACATGTGGAATTCTCCCCGGCTCCCCCACCCCACCCCTCACACGCCCCACAAGAGCCACCTACTGGACTTGGTTTCCTCCGTCAGCAAAGAGGGCGTGGCTGAGACTACTGGTCTGTCCCAGTGGGATGAAGCCGATGGGGATCTTACTGAAGGTGGCCTGGGGACAGAGGAGAAGCATTTCAGCACCATGGTGAGACATGAGGCTGGGCAGTGTCCACTCCCCTCCCCCCACCCCCCAGGGAGGAAGCGAGCAGGTGGTTTCCAAGGCAAGGGCTCCACGGCAAGCAAAAGGACCAGCTTCAGAGACTCGCTAAGGGGCCTGGCGGATCGGATCGCAGGGCAGGGGAAAGGGCACCGGCTTTCGACAGCCCAAGGAAGTCCAGCTTGCTCCCCTTACAACGTAAACTGGGCAGCACTGCAAAAGGACAACGCAGAGAGAGAGAAAGGACGGGGGAGGAAAGGCTAAGACGTAATTGCTTGTCCTTTGAGCTCACCTCATCCGCTCTCCGAAGAACCCCAGTCACCACCTACACAGGTAAAAAAAAAACAACAAGGGTTATAAACCACGTGGTCTGCAAAGCACGTGCATTTCCCGTCTCACCCAAGGAGAGAATCCACCCTGCAGACCTGCATCCGAGATCCTCTCTTCCTAGACACCCGGCCAATGGAGGCAGGGGATCTGCAGAGGAAGGCCGTCTCCACTCTGAGTCACCCCAGGCCAAAGGCCTGCCACAGAGTGGGCCCAGGCCCACCACGAGCCTGCCGGCAGTGAGGCTCCATGGGGAACCCAGAGCTGCTGTCTTCACTGCCTCATCTTTCTCCCTCGGGGTGGCTGGTGGGTTTGAGGTGCTGACCTCTGGGTTAGCAACAAGCACCGAGCCTCTGTGCAAGCAAGATTTCAGGCCTCTCACTGGATTTCGGGGTAATGGGGTTGCCACAAGGCTGTCAGTACTCTGTGCACCTCATTAGACAGACATGAAGGCACTTGGGGGATCATTAGCACGGACTTTTCAAAGCAGCTTACAAAGCCCCTCTCACTGCTACAGCACGCTGGGGACCGTGCCCCAGCACGGCCTACTGACTGCCGAGGCGGAACGATGGGGTGAAGGGACACAAACTGGCCTTTAAAGGGACCGCATGACGTGTACTGCACAAACAGCAGTCCTCATCCTCAGAGGGCTCCTTCCCAGGCACCCTCACAACACAGCACAGCAGGCTTGCCCTACCCAGCACCCTTCTCACCAGGGGCACCCCGTTCCATCACATTTAAATGTGACAAAAGCCGTCTCTGTGATGGGTGGCAGTTTGGTCTTGTTTGGGAGAGCAACAATCCTCGAGGGCCGGGCTCCACCACAGAAGTCCCCTCCTTGAACCAGAACTGCTGCCCGCCTTGCTGAGCACCCAGCCTACAGGCCCCCTCTCAAATCCAGCACCTCCTGCAGCGTCCCATCTCCCCCGGCAACGATGACCACATCTGTGTGCTCCATCAGCTCCAGCAGTTTCTTGGCTTGGCCCTCATAGTCTGTCTGAAAGACAAAGGAGGCCGGGGTGTGTGACCAGCCTGGAGCACCGACAGGCAAAGGCTGATGGGTGAGAGCGCCCAAGGCGTCAGCCTGAGTCTCTTCCCAGGGTCTGTGTGACTGACAGGAAGGAGGAAGTCAGATGCGAGCAAGGAAGCAGGTGGGGAGCTCTGTGCGCCGCGAACAGCAGACCCCAGCCCAGGCATGTCTGGTCACACAGCTGGCTGGCCACAGGACCAGCCCAGGGCCGGTGCACCCCACTCTTTCCCATTCTGTCCCGGGTCCTACTGGAGGGCAGGGGGCTGCAGGGGCTGTTCAGAACATGTGGGCTCTGGGGCCCAGGAGACAAGTCACTCTCAGTACTGCCACGTTCCAGCCAAGAGTCCCACACCTGGGCGCCTCCAGTCCTGGTAGGGAAAGCCCGAAGGCGGCAAAGCTGTACGCAGCAAGGTGCAGGGAGCTGCCACTGCAGGCTGTCTGGGGACACTGAGCCACAGCACAGAGATGGGACAGGGCACCTGAGAAGGAGTGGTCGAATGGAGGGTAACTTATCTCGGACTTAAATGAGCCACTCAGCCACCAATGAGGCATGCATCCCTGAAACCAAATGACATGGGATGCTGACCCAAGCCACTCTCTCCCCAATGGACACTGCACTACTCCCATGAGCGCCGCTCTGCCCTGACCCTGGCATTCACATCAGCCCCAGTGCCAGCCAGGGAGCCGCGCCGAGGGACCTGGACCTCACTGAGCGGAGGCTCCAGCAGCCACAAGGCCAGCGCAGCCTGGGCCTACTGCTCACAGGAGGAGGTGCCGGCCCTGCACATGCTTTTCCAGCTCTGGTCTTGGGCCGCGCGTTTCAAATACAAGTGGGCCACTGGGGCACCGGAGCCCAGGAGCCATGGTTAAAGTGCTTTGTGCCAGCTCACCCAACTCTGCAATCTGAACAAGGTTTCCCACGTGGGCGAGACCACCCCCAGGGGCTTGGAAGGGGCTGTGGATCCCTTGCCCCATATTCAAACTCCCTTTCCCGTGAACGTGTGGCAGCCCTGCAGTACTGGGGCGCCTGGGGGAGGCACACAGGGAAGTTCTCCAAACTGCTTCTCTCACTTTCCTGGTTGGAGTCACAGGCAGGTGCCGCTTCTCCTGCCCCGTCTGACCATCCACAGATGAAGGGGAGCAGAGTGCTGCGATGCTGGGGCGCCCCCTGAGGACACATCGCTAGCTGGGCTGCTCCTCTCCCTCTGCCTGTGATCAGCCATGTCTGCTAGGAACTCCGAGAGACAGGTAGACCAGCCCAAGCTCAGCGCCTCACCTTGACCACGGTCACGTCCATGCCTGACAAGTGCAGTATTGGGGCAGCATTTTTCTCAAACAGCGTCCTGGCTTTCCTGGAGAGAGAGGGAGGAAAAACAAGTTTAACACCGGGAGCTCAAGAGGGAGGCCAAGAGCCCTCCAGCTTCTCTGGCCGGAGACGAGACAGCCAGCCCAGCGTGAGTCCTGCCTGCCCCTAAGCAGGAGGCCGAACTCAGTGAACGGATGGTGTGCTCAGCTGCGGACCAGAAGCCAACCCAGAGGCAGCTCAGAAGAAAGGCCTGGCCGTCTACTCCCCCCCGTACCAGCCCTGAAAGCCCTGTGGAGCACAGTTACCCTGACACACCTGGGGTCACTGGGAGTTGGGGTTGACTGGAGAGTAACTGGTTTTACACCAACTTGAGGGGGGACATGTTCCCACCCAGGGCAGCCGAGCTCACCGCCAGCTGGATAGGGAGGAAGCCGCAGCTGGAAGTGGGCCAAACCCCCATCCGAGAAGCCGGGCTCAGAAGTATCTCTACCTGCCACCGTGAATCACAGCCCATCCGGACCCCAGAGTTGGTGCGAGGTGAACATCTGGGCCTGAGCCCGTGCCTGTGGGTGCTGCTGAGGCTAGGAGAACCTCTACACGCCTATCCAGGGCTCTCTGAGCCCTAGGGTCCCACGTGAAAGGCTGGGACCCTGGGTAAGCAGAGTGAGCGTTCTCCCATTGCTGACAGCTCACATGAAACTGACATGACAGCAGGAAATGCACGGGTGGTCACATCATCGGGCGAGCGCTGGGCTGGGATGGAAACCTGGTGTCCTTATAGCCATTTCCATGCCAGCGCAAGCAGAAGGTAATGACTCTTCCATGGACCGCTCACTAAGGCTAAACACACAGGCCTCAGATTTCTTGGCCCTCTCAAGGAGCCCTGAACCAGCACTACCCAGCCCAACTGCTCCTCCAGAGACTGCCACCGCCGCCGCCCCAGCCAGAAAGAGCCACTGCGGCAGAGCTGCAGGCCTGAGGGGCGGGCGCAGGCACTCCAGCCTCGGCCAGGGGCAGGGTCCCTGGAGAAGGCAGGTCTCTGATGGATGAGGAAGGCTGCCCCAGTCTCCGAAGCAGAGGTGGGTCTGCCTCTGAAAGGTCACAGCCCTGCCACCCCCACGGGGGCACCAGGCGGCGCCATGACACAGCCCAAGGTGCAAGCATCTTATCCTGTGGTCGTTGTTGAGAATACGAGGGGGCTTCAAAAAGTGCGCAGGAACAATTCCGTCGTCTTGTCATCCGATTTTTCCCACGTACTTCCTGAAGCCCCCTCGTGTACACATCAGCGCACGCACCGGTCAGCACTCTCCAGGGACTTCGGGTGTAGTGATGACACCCCTGCCGCCCAGTTCCCATCTAGCCTGTCGAGTTGCTGTCGTCCACGGGCCCACACAGACTGGCCTAAAAGGGCATGGCCCTCCAAGCAGACGTCTTTCCCAGGGAGGCTGCATGACTGTCAGCAGCCCAAGTTCGAAACCAGCAGCCGCTCCTCAGGAGAAAGATGAGGCTGTCTACTCCCATCAACAGCTGGTATCGGAAACCCAGAGGCAGTTCCACCCTGTCCTACAGGCCCCTCTGAGTCCTCATCGACACCACAGCAGAGAGTGAATTGTTTGATGTTAAGCAGACTGCAGGTGGGCAGTTTGGGCTTAAAATTTCAGATTTACAGAGTATCTTGGGGCAACCGTTTCCAGGGCAGGAGCATGGGGGGAGGGGTATACACATGTACTCTTGACACAAGGACCCACGTTTGGAAATGCAAATGTCCTGACGTGTAAAAATTTACACGCTTCTTAAGGTGGGGTTGTAAGTTGACTGGTGGCAGCCTCAACATATTCATGGATTTCTCCTCAGAAATCAGAAGTGATTGCTGCCTATCTCTAAAACATCAGGGCCCAGAGAGCTGGCTGGTGTGGCAGGAGCCGCCCAGGGCTTTTGGGAGTGGCCAGAACAAACCAGAGGGATCTGGAGGAGAGGAGAGGAGAGGCCAGAGGCCGAGCCTCACAACACCCACTGCGTCCACTGGCCCTGCTGGGCAGAGGCCTGCTCCTCATGCCCGGGCGGTTGTCTTCCTGGAGCAGACAGCCTCCTCTTTCTCCCACAGAGCCGCTGTGGGTTTGAACCGCCCACCTTGTGACAGGGGGCTTCCTGGAAATGATGGCGAGGGCCCACAGGCAGTCTCTTGTTTAACCGCCATGCCCACACCGCCCTCCCTTTGTAAGGTAGGTGCTGTTACTGCTCCCATTTCACAGGGGCATGAGCTCTAGGGCCCAGATGCTAGGCAACCAACCCCAGGTGCTTTCACATCTCGGAGCCCACACAGAGTTCAACCACTCCACTCTGCCAGCGGCCACCTGGGATCCGCAACAGCCCACACCTGTTTACTGGGAGGTGGGTTTGCTGTCCAGACTAGGGGTGGGGGGAGCGAGCCGCTAGCAGAGGCATGCTGGTGGGAAGGAGAGTGGCAAGTGGCCCAGACAGAAGGGGGCAAGGAAGCCACAACTGGGCGGTACACCAGAGCCCATTCAAGTCATCTGCAAGTCCAAATAACTCCTGGCTCACCACAACCCCCAAGGACAGGGCAGAACTGCCCCTGGGGGTCTCCGAGACTAGTTCGATGGGAGTAGAAAGCCCCTGTCTTTCTCCCTCGGAGTGGCAGGCGGTTTAGAACTGCTGGCCCTGTGGCTCCCCATGGATGCGTAACCACTCTGTCCCCAGGCTCTGTAACCGACTCAAGGACACAGAAAGGGCGCTTTTGTGGGAACTTTACCTGTGGGCCGGGGGCAGAAACACCACAGGAGACTTGTCTCCGTGCTCACAAAGCAATGGCTGGGCGTATGTGGAGTGGAGGAGCCTGCTGGAGCCAGGCAGGTACCCAGAGCTTGGCCTGCCTGTGTGGGGCCTCCTCCCACACCCAGCTCAGAGTTCCCAAGGCACCATGTTAACCAACCACGAGACACTGTGGCCACAGCCCTGTGAGGGTCGTGCATAGCCCCCTGTGCTCCACGGAGTTTCGGTGAGCTTGAACCTGTAACCACCAAGGGGCCTGCTCTGAGGGTCAGTTCTGCAATGATGACCAAGCCTCCGTGGGGCTATCAGCTAAACACCCTGTCCTCTCCACGGGAACTGCCAGCTCCGTGCTACCAGCTGGGCCTGCTGACCCGCCAGCCCCTGCCCCACAGCGGCCTGCAGCCTGCGGCTCACTGTCCCCTCGGGAAACCATGGACGGAACGACCCTCTGCACGCGGCCGGGTTCAGGAAGACTGTAGCCCTCTTCACTTGCGCATTGGGCGGGAGGAGCTGGTTGCCGAATTCCTGAAAGGGCGAGAAACAAAGGCAGTAAGGAGGAGTCCCTCGGTCCTGGGTGACCCCACCCACAGGGCAGCCTGCCCGCTCCAGGAAGGAGCCCTGGCGGCACTGCGGGTACGGTGCCGGCCGGCTCACATAACCACGGTGATGGTTGGAACCCCCTAGACCCCCACAGGAGACGAGGCCGTCTGCTTCCGCCGGGCTGCTGCCCAGGGGCCTTGTGCGGCCTGCCTACCCTTGGTTCACGGGCTTCCCAGGCACAGGCCTGGCAGCAGCCGCCACTCGAACTCCCGCCGGCCCTGCGAGCTGCCCAGGCCTCACTGCCCTTCAGAGCCGAGTGCATGCACACGGGCAGAGCTCGCCTGGGATGGGGGCTAGATGTGCACTCCAAGCCTGTCACTCACTCTCTGCATGGGGCAAGGGAAGCCTTTCTGAACCTCGCTGCTGGGACCTGTGCCAGTGGACATTCAGTGCCGCCTTCGTTTCTGAGTAATGTGTGTAGAAGTGGCTGACAGTGGTGCCTGGAAATAGGGGGCAGGGGAGCAGGAGGGGAGACAGGGGAATGTGAAAGGGCAGGAAACATGTGGAGGGGCAGGAAGAGGGTAGTGTGAGGAGGGGCAGGGGAGCGAGGAGAGGCAGGTTTGGACAGTGGAGACAGGTCTGGGCCAAACCCACGGGCACAATGGAAAGCACAGACGGGCAGCAGGTGGACCTGTTCCCTACGATGTGCCCAGCGGCCACACTGCAAAGCCCCAGCTCCCTGCTGGTCCTCAGAGGCCCCCCTGGACCTACCACCCAGTCTCGGTCAAAAAATACAAAGTTTCTTTTTGAGAGAACTTCAGGGAGATGAGTTGTTTCTCTGTACAAAGTTCCTGGTAAACATGTTACTGTTTCCACTCTTGTTAAGTGAGATGTTACCATTGGGCCCCACACCCACTGCAGCCAAGTCCAGCCGGCTGGGCTCAGTCATGACCCTGAAGGACGGGGCAGAACTGTCCCAGCGGGCATCTGGGATTGGGGCTCATCACAGGGCACGGGCCTCACCTTTGCCCAGTGGAGCAGCTGCAGGGCTCCAACAGCCGACCTTTAGGTTAGAAGCCCAGCGCTTAACCCCCTGTACCACCAGGGTGCCCGTGCTTGTGCTGCCCCGGCTCCTTCTGCACACACTCGCAGGGCTGAGGCCTCCAGGACCGTGGCCGGGCTGCCACTCCAGCGCGAAGTCCCCGAGCCAGCTGCAGCACTTGCTGGGTGAGGCCACGGCCAGCCAGCAGGGGGGAGCACGGAGAGCGTGAGAACCCTCGTCTGCTGGAAACTTAGACCAGCCTGAGGAGCCCCCTTTCCCCAGGAGGGAGACACCAGGGTGAGGTGGAGGACGCGTGAGAGAGGGCAGTCCCTGGCCACACACCGAGGGCTGCATAGACAGACGGGTGGCATCTGCAGGGAGGAGAGGGGGTCAGTTGTCCTGAGCGGTATTACCTCAGCTTCTTGACAGGCTGCTCTTCTCAGCAGGTTGTCGCTACCAAGCAAACAGAGAAGAGAGGGGCGTTAGTCTTAATCTTCCACAGGACGTACAGGTCTGGGCACCCGTGGCCTCCCGCTTACACACACACTCAGTGTAAAACACAGAGCGGGGGTCCCCGAGACCTAACAATAACCCAGGCACCGCAGAAAATGTTCACCTGGAAGGCAAGTAAACGCCCTTTCCGCACCCCCAAGCGTGTCCACGCCCAGCTCAGAAGCTGAACATGTCACTTCACAGGGCAGAGGGGACCCTTTGGGCGTGAGTTTGTTTGAGACCCTGATGTTGGGGGAGATGGGAACCCTGGTGGTGCAGGGCTGGAAAAGCTTGGCTGCTAACTGAAAGGTCAGCGGTTGAACCCCACCAGCTTCTCCTGAGGTAGCCTGCTCCTGAAAAGATTCACAGGCTTGGAAACCCTCTGACAGTCCTAAAATGTCATGGAGGTGGGGGTAGGGGTGAGTCAGAACCACCTGTCAGCAGGGAGATTTTGGTGGGAGGGGAGCTGGGCTGTCCTGATGGGAACAACCGAATCCCGTGATCCTTTCCCTGCTGTGGGCAGAGTGGGGAGGGGCCAGGAGCCAAGGAGTGTGGGTGGTCTCTAGACACTGTCCTGCCTTCCCTGGGTTACCCAGTTACAACCCAGAGAGACCCAGACTGCGGGATGGCCCACATGTGCTGTGCTGGTCTAACCACCACTCCTTAGGGCAGCAAAGTGAACCCCACTTGCCCGTGGGACCCTACCCAGGGCACCACACACATCATAGGCTGGAAGTAAAGGCCATGCTTCGCTGCTCGTGAGAGTTAGGTTCGATGTGCCAACTGGCCAACAGGAACATGTGGGTGGATATTAACCAGGTGCCAGTTTGATCGGAGGGCAAAGAGAGAAACGGCCCTGCGAAGGCGCACCTCATCTCTCTTGCTCTCTGGCGACTCGACCAGCACGCTGCTGCCTTTAGCTACTTCTCTGCCTCCACCTGTGAGCTACACCACCTGTGGGCCAAGTCAACCCTGAATCTTGTTGCTATAGCTTGAGGCATCTTAGAGACCTGCTTCACCACACTGCTGGGGGCGTACATCAAACCCCCTGAGCTTGAGGCTGGTGGATCCTGAGCCTTGCATTGCGCATCTGGGCCTGCTTCTCTAAGCTCCCAAGCTACTGACTGTTGCTGACCCACCGTGCTGTCTGCTGCCTGCAGGCTGACTCTGCCTCTTTTGCCTCAGGGAAGACTGCGTACTGCTTCCTTGACCTTGGACCAAAGCTCCCTCCTGTGAGTTGAAGGACCTTCAGTATATTAACTGTTCCATGAAAGTGAGTTGAACTGAGCCCTCTGTACTGCTGTGTAGACTGATTAGCTGCTGTATTCCTTCTCTCTGTATAAACCTATCCTTGTACAGACATATCTTCATGAATGTCCTGGTTTGGTCTCTCTAGAGGACCCTGCCTAACACATTGGTCCCGCCACTGTTTCACCTGAACCCAAATTTCTTCATGTTGCACTCAGACACTCAAGTTGGCCTGCGACACAGCTCCAGAAGCCCCTCCTGGTGCCAGGCGAGGGGAGGCCTACCCGCTGCCACCGCTGAAGGTGACCTCAGCCTGTCAGTGACCCAAAAGAAAGCCAGGACCAGAAAGATGGCTGATGTCAGCTTCTGGGCAAGGACTAAGAGGAGGAAGGGAGGCTGCACACACCCTTTCCACACTCAGACCAGTGAATTGCATGGTACAAGGATGTCGAGAACGCTGTACAAATAAACATACAACACGACAAATACGAAGCTCTGTTTTCCCAATGTTCTTTTTAACATTGCATTTTCATGCTAATTCAAGTCTCATGTTGATGAGTAAGCTCACTGATTGCTCACAGCACACACTGCTGAGTGACACCCCTCTGGGGCCAGGCAGTTGTGCTGCACCCCGACACGTCCCTGCCCACTTCCCACCTCCCCACCACAGAACAGAGCTGCAGCAGGGAAATGCACCCCCAGGGCCACTCTGTGCCAACCCCGAACCACAACACCATCCACCACAAGGAAATGCCTGCGCTGGTGGACAGAACATGGGGACCAGCCCCAGGTAACCAGACAGCCAGGCTTGCCCCCCCACTCACCCCCCCACACACACACACTAGCAGAGCACCACTTTCCAGGTTCCTCACCCACTGCTCAGCCCTCCCCCCACCCTACTGCCCAGGGCCCCCAGCCACTCAGCCCCAATATCCAGGCCCCCATCCACACACACACCTGCTTCTCTACATCACTATTAGCGAGTCCTTCCAGCATCAACTAAACACACCTGTACCAAGGAGGAAGCAAATGCAGGACACAGGACACGCGATATATTACCAAGAATTTGCATATAGATAGCCTATAGCCCTTCCTCACACTGATTCGGTCTGTAAGCTGAACGCATCATCTGAGAAGCTGGACTGCATGAAGCACGTGGCATCGGCACGGGAAGATGGCTTGTGGACCACCTGAGTCATGCAGACTCATGCAGACTCATGATTCAACCTTGTTTGTTGAAGAAAGCCAAGCACCTGCTGCTGAAGGGCAAAGACCACCTGCCTTCGGTGGGGCTCTCAGCTCCATGTGAAGAAAGCATGTGTCATTGCAACTGGGCCAGTAAGCAGCATCACAGTGCGCAGGGGAATGGAAGTTCTCTGGGGGCTCCTTGTACTTGGCTCCAGTCATTGGCCCCGGGAGCCACAGTCAAGAAACCAAGCCATGTGTTACTGTACTGGGCACATCTGCTCCCAGGACCTCTTCGTAGTCAAAGGCCTGAGGAGTGCCTGACAAAAGCCTTGGTATTCCCAGTCATCTTCCTCTATGTCCCTGAAAGCTGGACAGGGGCCGGGAAGACTGCAGGAGAATGGGTGCCCTGGAATCACGCTGTTGTCAGAGGAATGAGCAGAGCTGTCTTGGGAAAAATGCAGCGAGATGCTCCTGAGTAGGCGGGCTGGTTAGACTTCATCTCACATTCTCTGGGCATGTCACCGAGAGGCCCGTCCCTAGAGAAGGACGCCATGCTTGGTCAAGAGGAAGGTCGGAGAGAAAGGAAGACCCTCAACGAGATGGGCCGGCAGACACAGTGGCCGCACAGTGGGCTCCAAGGGCACCGAGTGTGGGGATGGCGCAGGACCCTAGAACAGTGTTCTTTTCTGTTGAACTCGGGGTGACTGTATGTCGGAACTTAAATGAAGACACCCAACCCCTTTATGGTTTACTTGGTTGCTCATATATGTGATTTTATAGCCACTGAAGTGGTATCTTAATACTATGTCCCCAGGACAGATATCCCTGCTCCTTGTAGCCACGTGAGTGCTGTGTCCCTGGGCCTGACCTGGGCACCCCAGCCTTCCCAGCTTCCATATCTGGACACAGCTCTGCCTCCAGGGTGCCGAGATGCCTCCTTCCCACGGGCCCATCCTCCACCCTGCAACCTCAGCCCCCAGCCCTGAAAGGCCTTCCCAGGATCCTCTTTCCTGGGGCATCACTGGAGAGTGTCCCTGACTCCCTCTAACCCCCCCCTCACTAATTCCTGGGGACCCAGTGAGGAGGCCAGCCTCCCAAACACCCAAGGACTCAGGGTGGCGGCACCTTGAACTCATTTCCCTCTATCCTATCCCACCCCCTGGAAGTCAGATCGGAATGGTTCAATGGGTAGGATGTTCATTATTCAAGAGCTCAGCTCTCTGGAGCTCAGGAATACTGCCTGATTGATCCAAGGGGGGGCTGCTCCAAATCAGACAATGATGTGATTATTCCCACCCTACATGCTGGCTGCCCAGGCCCTTAGCACAGGGTGGGGGCAGGCACTGATTTAGATCCACTGGAGAAAGCCTCGTAGCATCACACTTGATTCTGAAATACAGTACTAGCCACCTGGACCTCACTCTCTGAACCAGATCAAACAGGTCCTCAAAAAGAAACAGATTTCTCCAATGGAGATTTCCTGCCAATCGGTGACCTGCTGTGAAAATCATTTCCAGAGAGATTCCATAAATATTTTCAGCCAGGACAGTCCGAAAGGGATCACGGGGGAGAGAACTTCAATTGCAGAGTGGCCACCACGGGCCAGGCACTGTCCAACCCCAGGAACCACCACACCCAGCAGGCTCTGCAGGTCCCACCATGCAGGCGAGAGATGGAGAGGAGCCTGTCCAAGGCCACAGGATCACCACGTGGTGGGGTTCGGGTCCACACTCAGGGCAACCGGCCCGGAGCAGACGTGGTGATGCTGCATCAGCTGGTCAAGGGCAAAGGTGGGGGGCGGTGGATGGGGGTGCAGAACTGAGTGGTATTTCCTTCAGCTGTGCAGGGGTCCCTGTAAGGGCTAACCGATGGCAGCTGACAGCATCACACTTACTGGGCAGCTGGACCCTCACTTCTTTCTGCTCCATCAGCCCTTACACATTTGCATATGCAATTACAAGCAAACATGTAATGAGTCTCAGCTACACAGGGAGAACTCAAATGCATTTGCCTGGACTACAGAATGACAGGAGAAAGCTACTGCGCGGGGACTCCGGTGGCTATTCAAGAAGAGAGGACAGGAGGAGCGTGCCCTGCCCTGTGCCCCGCAGCAGCCTGGCCCCCCACACAGGGCAGAGCTGCACCTCCAGCACCAGGCACCTGCCCCTCTGCGACCCAGCTCCCACGCCGATGGCTCTCTGCAGCCGCCGCTAAGGCGCCCCCATGTTGGCCCCACGCACATATGGTGGAAGCAAAGAAAGTCATGTGATTCCTTAACGAGGAAGCTGGCTTTCTTGATCATCTGGAGGGAAGGGACTGTAATTAAACTTCAGAGCACTTAAAAGAAGGAAAAACTGTCTTCTTCCCCATCAAATCTGGGCTGACAGGTGTGTTCCTAATTGTCGATAAATGAGTTTCTCTAAATAGCTCCCGTGAATGCCCCACCGCCCAGCGGCAGCCAGCCAGAGGAAGACAGGAGCGCGGCTTCAATGTCTCCACAAAACGCGCCAAGGACCACCAGGAGGGGGAGTCCCAAAGTCCGGGGGTGTTAAGCACAACCACTGACACCCACTGAGAGGGCCACGACCCCTCTGCCCTAGAACTGGCACGTAGACAGGGTATAAACGAGTCCAGGGTCACACGGCTGCTCGGGGAAAGCCGCAATCCAAACCCACAGTTGGGCTCCCCAGCAGCCCCTCAGCCTCTGTGATGAGTGACGTCTATCCACGCTCCTCAACCACGACCCACAGGACAGCACACCTGCCATGACACAGCATACTGACAGCCCAGGTGACAACACCCGTCAGAACACGGTGTACGAATGGACAGGTCAGCACACCCGAGACCACAGAGCCACCTCCACGTCAGAAAGGCAGGCCAGGGCAACTCGCTGGTGACACAGGAAGCACCTGACACAGGCGGGCACACTCCTACCAAAGGGCCAC